GTTTTATTTTTTTAAGGTAAAAAAATATATATTCTCCATAAAAATTAATTATCCAAATAACAATAAAAGTCTTTTTCTAATCAAGACATGTATGTATTACCATTTAAATATAAACTAATTTAATTTTGTAATCCTTTTGTTTTCTAGTCTTTTACGTGATTGATTAGTATTATACATATATAAATTAATAGAAATGCTTTGTCTATTCCCTTTTCTCTTCATCATGTTTTGACATTTTTGTTATAAAATTGATGCCTCAATTTAAAATGCTAATTCTTTTTTTTTTAAAATCATGATATTTTAAACTTTGACTATTAGATTACTACTCATAATAATACATTAAATTCATAAAATTTAAACATTTTGATCTCTGCATCTATTCTTTTCCATATTCAAATTAATATGATAATATAATATATATTTAATACTTTATAATATATTTGATTTTTTTAAATAAAAATGATAACTAAATTTTTTTTATTTGCTAACTTGGGTAGTACTATTTTGCAAACAAAATAATCTAAATAAGTAGTTATATAAATGAAGTAGAGTATAATAAAATATTTTGTTCAATTTTGTCTTGATCATATTCAAATTATATTATATCACCACTTAAGTATACGAGTGATGTGTTTTTATTATTTTCAATCATAATTTAAACTTGAATTAAATGAATGTAAAAGTGTCAAATATTTATATTGCAATTTTATGCATGCTTACTTTAAATACTTTATTTTAAACTTAATTTCATTTGTTTATTTTTTGTCTATTGTTTAAAAAATATAAGCATGCTAACCCACTATGGGTTCGAGTTATACAAGATGGGCCAAAATTACCCTACATATAATTGAATCCATTTTTTCCAACCTAACTCTCCATTTTTTTTTGGGTTGGCAGTTGATCTTGCGGGCTAAATCCATATTACCAGCTCTATTGATTTGAACAAAATTTAAAATGAAAATTCAAAAATCTTGATTTAAATAGTTAAAACAAATAAAAGAAATGCACATAATTTAAATACAAGTTTTCTATGTTGATTTGATTAAAAATTAACATGAAAATTCAAAATCCAGATTTTTTTTAACAAAAGAGATCAATTTTATTAATGTCATCAAAAAAGTATTACACACACTAATCCCTTGGAAAGAACAAATAAAGAACCTACTAGTACAATAAAGCAATAAACCTAGGTTACAACCTATAAAAAAAAAACCAAACAAACAAAGCAACAATCGTATAAACCAATCAACATATACCTTTCTTCACAGTAGCAACAACGCCTTCGCCATGCTAATCCTCGTTGAAAATAGAAGCCAGAGAAGATGGTGGCTCAAAAAGCATCTTTGTAAAACCATACTCCTCATAATGCTATATGCAAGCCAATCAGCTGCACCATTCCCACCCTTAGCCACAAGGGCCAAGGAGCAATTCATACCAGTATCACACAACTTAAAACATTTATGCAAAATCTTAATGCAAAGCCACTCACAACCCACCACAATCCTAGCCATTATCCTCTTGAATAATATTAGGCAATTGGTTTCAATAACCACTCTGCCATCACTAAACATATATTTGGCCAACAATGCTTCCAAGAGGCTTAGTCATAAAAGCGGAATCAGTAGATACCTCTTTCCCCACACCCTCATAAACCGTCCATTATGATCTCTACCAATTACCCTAATAGATGCTCTCTTCCTTACCTCGCAAAAAGCCCCATCAATTTTTAACTTTACAACTCCCATGTTAGGTTCCTTCTAAACCAAAGCTCTCTTATCACAACTTTCATCTGATGCAAAGTTGCCTTCAACCAAATTCCCAATGAGATTCGACCCCCTCAGCCCCTTGCTTCATTTTCCAATGTGATAGCTCCACATCCACGTCAAGCTTTTCAAAAATAAACCCACATCTAGTTGTCCACACTTTTTAACAGATGCTAGCAAAAAAAGCCACATTATAATCAGTAATTTCTTTTTGCAGTATCAACCAACCTTCCAACCAAATATCAAACTTGCACATCCCTTTCTCATCAAACTTCAAACCCAAGGGTAAGCCAAACCAATATCCCTTAACTTAAGGACATAAAAAAAACACATGCTTAAAAGTTTCAACCTCAATTTTACAAATTTCACATTGAGGTTTACTTGCAACTTCCTTTTAAACAACGCCTCTCTAGTAGCTATAGCATTATTCACTACCCCCACATAAAAAGCCTGATTAGCAGAAAGCCAAGCTCTTTATTGCAGCTCCTCCAGATTAACCACTAACATTAACCAAGCAAATTTACATAAGCGTGGCTCATGTCCAATTTGTCCACAATGAAAACAATAATTTTGTAACTTTTCATATTTAATCGAGCACCACAATCAATCAAAATTTGGTTTAGGAATCCAAAATTCAAGGACCAGTGGTTTTTTTAAATCCAATACTACATGAACTCTCAGAAAACTCCAAACACCGTAACAAACATCCTCTACCATTACTACTTTCCTTACATGGCCACTGATTTAAACTGTTTTTTCAACATACATAGCTTCCAGCGGTACATTATGCAATTGAAATCAAACTCTTACTAGAATCAAATTCATCAAACACACTAAATTTCTTCCACTCTTGAACATTCAGAAGCTAACCATTAATCAACTATGGCTATCCTATAAGGATTATCATACATTCCTCCTCTTTAACAAATTTAAATGGAAAAGACCTAGAAGATTCGTGATTTCCAGCCCTTCCTTCAGATTCCAAACTTTTCTTAACATTACTCCAAAAGTGGTTTGATTCACCTCTTTCTCGGCCATTATCTTTCCAATCAATGCACGCTTCTCATCATCATCCTTTTAGCTTAGTGATTCATTAATCATATCCACATTATCCATACCTTCCTCTACATCCAACTCTACTACCATGAAGAATCACATATTTTGCACACTTTATTTTATATTTGTGATCATATTTTATTTGTTTAGATCCTTATATGCATGATTTTAGCATTGAATTTGATCATCGGGCCATTCACATTGAACTTTGGCATTAGAGGCATTTTGGTCATTTGGCACATTTTATTGGAATTAAATATTTTTAATTTGAAATTTCAATTTCTTGGTATATTTTATTACTTGAGCAATATTTTCATTTTTTAAGACTTTAATTGGTTGAGTTGCAGATTAATTTAGCTTTAGTTACTTTGTGTTTTCAAGCATTTAGGGGTCAATTGGTAATTTTTTCATTTTAATTTTAAATTATATATTTTTTTTTTTGAAACGCAGAAAAGAACGCACGAACAAGGGAGAAGGGAGGCAACGCACGAATGATGGAGGCCAATTCAGTTCGGCCATTTGCTTGAATCCGGGGCTCACCACTTCATCGCACATCTCCTCTCATCTTCCTTGGAGGTTCAGAGTTCAGCTGATCGCACGCACGCAGAACGCTTATCTCCATCTCTTCTCTCGGTCAGAGCTGAGTTGTAGGGGATCGCTCATATTCATCTCAGTTCATCTTTGGCTCGTTTGACGCTCACACAGTCCTCGCACAGGTCAGCGACCTCACTCGAATAAACACTCATCTTCTTCTCAATCCAGTTCGGTCACCATCACTCATCTTCATCTTCATTCAGTCATTCGCACACAGATCACTCATCTCTCCTCTCGATCGCATAGTCATGGCAGTTTCTTTTAGACATCTCCCTCAATCAGTTGTTGAAGAGATTGGAACAAGGAGCTAAATTTCTTATAGAGTTCTTTAAGGGGATGAGACTTGTACTTGAGTTTTCTTAGCTTATTTTTATTTTGGTTTTGTTGTAATTCACTTATAATTTCTCTAATTTTATTGATGCTATTGACTTGATTATTCAGTTCTGCTTAAATTGATTTTTTTAGTTAATTTCACTCTTTTGAAAAAATTAGATGTTATGCTTTGACTCTTAAATTGAATAATGCATATTATATGTTTGAATTTATGCTTCAATGGTTATTATTATGTTATGTAAATGATAGTCTGTCAAATTCTTGTAATGATGTCTGAACCATTTAACTTCTATTTAGATCTTAAATTTAAGTTAATTATTTAATTTTTAATTGGGTTCTAAATGTTAGAACATGGTCAAAACAAGATAAGGTCTAATTTAGAGTCAAGCCATATTTTGGCATAATTTTTAGAGGAATTGTGTCTTGGTTTAAGTTACAATCACCTATTCTTAATGGTAATTAAGCATTTGCTTGAGGTTAAATAAATTGCAAGAACCACATGAATTCAACTTAGAATTTTATGATGATGAAAGTGAATTTAAACCTTAGAGAACTCTTTGGTTTGCTTTGTTAAATCAATTTCATCTCACTTCATATTTTTTTATAAAACTAAAAAAAATATAAATATCTTAAACTTTGAATTTTATTTTCAAAACCAACATTATTTTTAACTTGTGGAAATTGTTTATGAATTGTCTTTGGTTGCTTAAACTTGCTCTATTGAAATTTTATGATCTAAGATGTATTTAACTATATTTTATAATTTTTAAAAAGCTTGATATGCCTTAGAGCTTTTCATATCACACAGAGCACAACTATGCAAATCAATCTTTGATCATCACCTTCATACCTCCAATCATCACACCTACATTTACAAACCTTACAACTCTCATGCACTTGGTGAGAGAGAGTCAAAGAGCTCTCATAAAGGGAGGGTCGTTTTTCCTATAATCAATAGACATTCTAAAAATCCAGATTTAAATAGCAAAAACAAAAAAAAAAACAAATGCACATAATTTAATACAAGTCTTCTGCTCACACCTTTTGTCGGAGTTTTCAAGATTTTTTGGGGTTCCAATGGGTTTTTTATTTTGGGTAAATCCAATATTTTAATTAAGTTGTTGATTGAAAGAAACCAAGAGAGGCCCAGACCCGAAAATCCGATTAAAAAAACCGTAAACAAATCTGAGGCCCACTGTGTCCACAAAGGAACATCGAAAGAGGGACCATGTAACAATCGAAGGCCCATCCTATTCGGGAGCGACATAGTGAGTTACAGTACGGAGTTCCGCGCCTTTCTGCCGGGTTCTCATTTCTCGCTTCTCAGCCGCATTTCCGCGAGCTCTTGGAATGCAACGTTTGATGGGGGCGCTCGATCCTTTACGGGGACTTCGATGTTTCTCATTCCTCAAAGGTTCCACTTCATTTCCTTCTCATGATTCCATTTGATGTTTTTCGTTCCTCAAATGGCTGTTAACCCTCCTTTAGTTTTTCGGACGAATCAGTTAAATGTAGTTAGATGTCTTTATCCTGTTTCGATCTTTGGCGATGGCTCATGCTTTTGTGGGGGGATAAGAGGACTGTATAATAGGGAGTTATTATCCTTTCGGTTTTGGTGGCCGCAGCATCCTAGTCGATGTATGACGACCAGCAAGCGGGTGCAAGACAGAAGCGGGAAGAAGAGGGTTCATGACCTTGAGATTGCAACCGAGAAGTGGAAGATAGCGTCCAAGGTGCTCTTTTTAATGGAGACTCTTAAAAAAGAGCCCGAGATGATCATTCCCGTTCGGTCACTCGAACAATATCGGAAACAGATTAATTTACCCAAACCCCACAGGATTTCGGATTTCATTCGGAAATCACCCAAACTTTTTGAGCTTCACAAGGATCATAAGGGGGTATTATGGTGTGGGATGACTGAGAAGGCGGAAGATTTGATAAAGGAGGAAGAGAAGATTCTTGAGCAGCAGTCAGATAAAGCAGCGGAGTACGTTACGCGGATGCTGATGATGTCAGTTGATAAACGGCTTCCACTGGATAAGATTGCTCATTTCCGTCGAGATGTAGGCTTGCCGCTGGATTTCAGGACCAATTGGGTGCACAAATATCCTCAGCATTTCAGGGTGGTTCAGTCTGTAGATGAAGTAGAGTTTTTGGAGCTTGTGTCTTGGAAACCTTCTTGGGCAATCACAGAATTGGAGAAGAAGGTGACGGGAGTAACTGAGAAGGATTCTCACAACCCCGGTACGCTCTCACTCGCATTCCCCTTGAAATTTCCTCCGGAGTTTAAGAAGGTATATCGATTTGGTGGGAAAATCGATCATTTTCAGAAAAGGTCTTATTTATCTCCCTATGCGGATGCTCGGGATCTCAAACCTGGGTCGCTAGAATTCGATAAGAGGGCTATTGCCATTATGCACGAACTGCTTAGTTTTACCATCGAGAAGAGGCTAGTAACTGATCACCTCACTCACTTCCGACGTGAACTAGTGATGCCTCAAAAGCTTATGAGACTTCTTTTGAAGCACTTCGGCATCTTCTATGTCTCGGAGAGGGGTAAGAGGTTTAGTGTATTCTTAACTGAAGCTTATGAAGGTCCGGAGCTGATTGATAAATGCCCTTTGGTCCTTTGGAAGGAAAAAGTCCAAGGTCTTATTGGTTACAGAGAAAGGAAGAAGAAAATAGAGACATTCAGCGACGTGTCGGATATGGAAGGTGATAGTTTGCTCCAGAGTGATTCTGAGGAGGAGAACTTGCATGTAGAATTAGAGCAACGGGAAACCATGGATTATGAGGATGCTTTACTTTCGGACAACTCTGATATGGACGTTGCAGGGGTTTCCAGTGTATACCAAAATTCTTAAAACTTCTTGAGGTCATAATAATTCTTAAAATTTTCCATTGTAACTTATTATATTCTTTTTCATTTGGCTCGAGAATGTAAATTTATATTTGAGGATGTAATCATTAGCCTTTTCTTTTTTCCGGTCAATTTAAGCAATGTGTTGACCTTATTACTCACTTTTAATTGTGTTTGTTGTGAACAAAAACAAAAAAATGTTGCGAGATGTGGCAAAGATGTGGGATTTTAAAAGAATAAAAGAACTTGACTCTTAAATCAAACGTGAGAAAACGGTGCTCCTTTATTATAGTTCACCTAAATGCGAGAACGCAAAGTGAAGAAAATTAATATAAATACAAGAAAATAGAGATACATTAATTAAAGAATGACATGGCGGGTTATATCGATCATACGACAGAAAAATAAAAACTAAAATTACATGATAAAGGTAAAAATAAAGTAGCAAATTTGGAGTTTGAGAATTTGATTGGTAGTTTATTGATGATGATGATGATTTGATGAGAGATGACTCCTCTATTTATAGATGATTCTAGCTAAGTACTCAAATCTCGTGATCGTCACTTTCCTTAAACTTAGGAAGCACTTCCTTCGTCGTGGCCACTTTCCTCATTTCCATAATTCAAGCATTATGGGTGAAGTGTGAAAATAATAGCTTAGACTCAATCTTGACTTAGTGGCTGAGACTTCATAAATATTTATTTTTTAATTGTTTTAAGGCCGAAAGTTGCTCTTCGCATTTCTTAGAGAGACTTGTTGAGAGTACTGGCTGAGTTGTCACTTTTGAAGAGTTTCATGAAAAATGTGTACTGTTGTTCTTCCTCACAGAGTCCTGTCTTTTGTCCTTTCTGGCAATTGAATGGGCTTGCCATTGAGTTAGACTCGCCATTTCTCTTTTGAAGGATGTTATAACAGTCCTTATTGTTGATCTTTTAGTTGAAGGGCACATTGGTGACTACCGGTCGAGTTCGTTGATTCTCTGAATGTGTGAGCCAATTGGAGCTTGCCCTTGTTGTGACATAGACAATATAGTAGAGATGTTCCTTAGCTCGTCCTTCAAAATTTGCATTAGAGCTCTTTGCCTCTCATCAGCCTGGTATTTCAACTTCTCCTAAGCTTTGGCTCGCTTTTATTGCTTTTTCAAATATTGTCTCTTAAGTTCCTCTACCAATGCTTTGAGGTCGTTGCTTGCTTATTGATATGGTCCCGTATCATGGTTAAAGACAAAGCTATAATATCATTAGATATAATAATAGGAGGTTCACTTGAGCAAGAGAGTTGGAGACTCTCATCCCAAGCTAGTGAGTAAGACATTCCTTAAGGAGATATTGCTTGTCAGCCCACGATCATTAGGATGCAAGAGGCTCGTACTTCACATTTTGCGTGCACAACCACATTCTCTGAGTCATGAGACTTGTAACATCCCAATTTAAATTTTAATAGTTAATTTGGGTTAATAGAAATTTAAAAAAAAATATTTAGAGGTAAGCAAATTAGTAAAAAATGATTATTAAATCTAATTTAGGATATAATTCTAAAAAAATTAAAAAAATTTATTAAAAAAATTAATCAATAATAATAATAATATTATTATTATTATTAAATTATTATTATAATAAAAAAAGAAAAGGTATTTAAAAAAAAGGAAGAAGAAGAAGAAAACGAGTTTGCTTTCAGCGGCCGCAATGATTACATGTAAAATAGTAAAAAAAGAAAGAAAAGGAAAGAAGAGAGAGGAAAGGAAAAAATAAAAAAAAATTGTGGGACCCACATTTATTTTTAAAAAACCACCGTTCTTTTCTCATTTTCCTTCATTTCCTTCCTCTTTCGTGTGCGATCAGAGAGAGCATCTGTGAGCGTGAGTCGCCGGTGCGAAAGATCTGAATTTTTAAGGTAAGAGTTTTTAATAGGATATTTAGGGTGTGATTTTAAGCTTTTCAAGACTAAGTAAGTGTTCTAAAAATTTTTCTTAATCATCCTTCTTCTTTGGTTTCTGAGTTTGTAGTGGTAGAAAATTTAAGATCTGGAAGAGGGATGAATTTATGTTGAATAAATATGATTTTTGAGGTTGTCAGTAGTATAATAAATGTTCTAGAGTATAAATTTGTTGATGATCTTTGAATTTGTGGCTTATGGATCAAATTCTAAACTAGATCTGAAAATATATGTTGATTTATTGAGGTTTAGATGATTATTTGGGATAAGAAATGAATTATTATGGCTATAGGATTATGATTCTAAGCTAGAGACTCAATTTTTAATTTTTGGGTATTTTAGGTACGAATTTATGAAATAAAAAGAAAATTTTGATAATAGAAATTAGTTTAGAAGTTGATTTTTAGATTATTAATGTTTATTGATAATTAAAAGAGGAGTTAAAAAATTTTACTTAATAGTATTAACTCTAGATTTGTATTAAGATTGAGATTAGGAATTATGTTATATTTTTAATTCTATTATTAGAATTATTTTATTAGTTTCAAAAATTGAAACTAATATTTATAAATAATATGTTATTTGTAGATTGTATTACTGGTGAAGATTGTGGTGAGAGAGAAATTTTAAGGAATAATTTATTGAAAAAGCCACAAGGTAACTATGCTTTTAATTTGTGATTAGTGTTACTTCATGTTAATTGGGTGATTATTGAGAAAATTATGAATTTTGTAATATTGTATAATTGTGCAATATTATTATGAATTTGTTTAATTATTGTGGGAGGTGTTGGGAGACTTGCTATTATTGTTATATTTATGTGCCACGTGGTACGCCCCTATTGGAGCTCAATAGGTGGTTTGTAAGGGCTCGGGCTAATCTACCTTTGGCCGGCTAATTTAGCACCGAGTGAGGGCTACGGCTCGAGGTTAATGGAGGGATATAAGGATGGTTGTTTGTGTATATTGTAATATTTTTTATATTTGTTGGAATTATATTATTTTTAATTCTCACTTAGTAAGCACACACTTAACTGTTTGTATACACTATCATAAATTGACTTTGGTTACTGGGACTTTTAAGTCTCATTATGTGGTTAACAATTTTCAGGAGAAGAGCCACGAGTGACACGTGGAGGAGTCCCAGAGGCTTAGTGGTATAGATCCACTGTCTCTTTTGAGTATTTAATTTATGAATTATAATGTGTTATATTGCCAATATTAGGACTTTTTGTTTATTGTCAATTATATGAATATATAAATGTAATCATGCCTTTCAAACTATTTCTATTTTTGGTACAATTTGGATGACTGTAATTTTAATATTTGGTTTACTTTGGATTGGTTAAAATGGCATGATTATAAGGCTAAATAACTGGCTTGTGTTGAAAATTTATTAAATTGCTTATTTTACTTGTTGGGAGTATAAGGATGGACAAATGTGATTTAGTTTACTTGTTGGGAGTATAAGAATGGACAAATGTGATTTAGCCTAATGGCATGTGGGAGGTAAAAATTTATCTGAAATGTTATAGTGTGTGAGTTGAAGCCAATTATAAAATATTTTATATCGAAATTATTGATATAAAAATGTGTTGGGTGGCTGTAACCCAACTATAGTTGAGTTAAATTATTTTAAAAAAAAATTTGGTGTGTTACAAGACTCGGGTCCATTTGTTTCAACAACATATTGATCTTTACGTGTCATAAGCATTCCATCCATACGGGTCTCACTAGGTGTGCCACAAATTATTTGTCATGAACAACAAAGGAGGTGTCGCGAGGCATGTTGGAGATGTGGGGTCTCAAAAGAATGAAAGAACCTAACTTGACTCCTAATTAAATCCAGAGAACTTAGGCTCCCTTATCACAGTTCACCCAGATACGAGAATACGAAGTGAAGAAAATTAACATAGACATGGAAAAACAAAGATACATTAATTAAAGAAAGATATGGTGGGCTATACTGACCGTATAATAGAAAAATAAAAACTAAAGCTATATGATAAAATTGACAATAAAGTAGCAAACTCAAAGCTTGAGAATTTGGCTAGTCGTTTGTTTATGATGATGATGATTTGATAAGGGAGGGTTCCTTTATTTATAGATAATCCTAACTTAATATTCAAGCCTTATGATTGCCGCTTTTCTTAAATTCAGGAAGCACTTCCTCCATCATGGTCACTTCTTCCACTTTCATAATTCAAGCATCATTAGTGGAATGTGAAAATAATGACCTCAACCTAATCTTGACTTAATGACTAAGGCTTCATAAATATTTATTTTTTTAATTATTTTAAGGCAGATTAAGTTGAGTTGAATCCAGACCTTCAAATTTGTAATTTGAGTACAAATAAAGTGTTTCTTTCCTTCTTCAATTGTGACTGGAGATTTAAAGATGAGATCAAAAGGCAGAAAAGAATCTGAAGATTAGAAGTACTCTATACTCTAATGTTAACTAGTTAAGAAACCTACTTCTATGCCTGGCGTCAACCCATTGGGAAGAGATTGGTTCTAGTATCATCTACTCATCAATAATTAACAACAATATGTATTGTATTTTACTAGATTAATTTATATTTCATTGGTGAGACTTGGCAATTCGGTATAGACGGAGTCTATAATAATTTATATATTGATATAATTATTTTAGACTCATTCATACACTGTCTGTTGTTGAGTTTGTGTTTCAAATGATGATTTCTACCTTAATTTGGAGAAACACAATTTGTCGTGGGCAAGCATTTTCAATGGTGTATTGGCCTCGCGCCTTTGATGCTCTACTTTTTTTTACAAAGATAACGGTAAATAAAACAAAAACAAAATGCTATACTGTGAGAATTATTTCTTAAAATACTGCACTTAAAATCCTTTTTGCATTGAATGATATATAAACTTAATGACACCATGAACCATTTTTTCAATATATAGCGTCGCCTGAAACAAAATTTGCTCTTGGTAAGAACAACTTCTAAATTTGTTCTTGGCAGAAATAATTTTTAAACATCCTCGGCACCTGTCAATTGAAATGAATAATTTTTTTTAATAATTTAATAATCATTTGAATAAAAATAATGAGTAAATAATTATTATTAATATAACTAAGGAATTATTATAAGTTATATTAAATTAAAAATGATTAATAATAAACAAGTAGTTATTAGGTTTTATGAAAATTAATAATAAATGATTAAGTTATATAA